TTGTCTAACTTTACTTAGCGTTGAAGGGTATTATAATTAGCCCCACAGTCAGATGCAGTTTTACAGAGCGACTTTCCTCAAAAATGGCTGCAGCTGCCATCTCAATGAGAAAAAAAAGCACGAAAACACAAAAATAATTTAAGATGCAACCATACTTACAGGAATCCTTTGAAAACATGTCCCGCTTTGCTTTGTCAATGAAAACAAGTACAGGTGGTTCTGAACTCAGTTCCGTTTCAGAAGTTGACATATATTCCAGATCACAAAATCATGCCAACTTATCCGACAGACTGACCTGAACCTATCCATTTAGTGAGAGATCTCCCGCACACTCAAAGTATCAGCAGACAAAGAACACCTCACTAATGCCATCGGTATCCGGCGCCTTTACTCCCCCAAAAGAAATTCGCCCATTTCGCAAACCCCAGCCCGTAAGGAAGGCCAAAAGTAAAGAAAAGCAGCAATGTCAGACATCTTGACTAAAACTCCAGAGAAACATTCTTCACAAAATTTCACCATCAGCGGATGTGGTTCTTGCAAATCAAAGAAGTTATGTTGTGAGCCAGATGATGACGATGATGCAAACACTGCTCTGGAAAAAAAAAATGTCTGAACAAATAAATGAAGATGAATTTACAGAGATCATTGAAGATGAAATCGACTATTACTTGGTCCTCTCCAGTCTAGTTTGAGCGAGGCAGATGTCGGGACTATCTGTGTTGGTGATTTTCTTTTCTTTAGGTGCAAGGGCAAAAAGTTCACTACCCTCTATACTGGAATAGTAAAGAAACAGATGAACGAAGAAGCGACACTGAGGTTGAATACCCTAAAAGAAGTTAAAAGGTGAAAAACGAATTCGTAAACTTCAAAACTAATGAAGTATGGTCTGTGAATAAAAAAGACATCATTACTTTGCTAACTAAGCCTGACATTTCTGGGACAAAACGCGCCAAGAGTGGAAATTCATTAATTGAAGACATCGTAAAATATAAAGCCTAAATATTCTTTAACTGTTAACTAAAAGACAGCTTTACATTTTTTTTTTTCAATTTTAGTACAGTCGTGTATTAATATCTTTGGCCCCTGACTCTGTGTTATGTTTGCGGCTCTACCCGTGTCCAGTGTAAAATGTGTTTAAAATTAATCTTTTACTGTTTTATGTAAACTTTGTAATAATTACAAATCTGGACCTTATATATATATATATATATATATATATATATATATATATATATATATATATATATATATATATATATATATATATATATATATAATCTTAACATTCATTAATATTCATGATTGTTAAGGGAAATTTTTTTTAAATTGAAACAAATGTTTTTGGGATCAAATAGATCTTTTCACCCCAAGCATTTGACTTTTGACCCTGCACTGGGTTAAAATAACACATTGCTAATTCACCATTTTGCAAGTCTGTCATGAGTATGTCGTGACCATTTATTCCGAAGTGTGGAACTACTATCTGGTGCATTGACACTGTAAAATGTTTACATTTCTTGTCTCTAGATCCTAAAAAGTGAAATGTGTGACTTTTCACCCCTTCTCTCTCTCTCTCTCTCTCTCTCTCTTTTTCTCTTTCTCTCTCTGTCTATCTCTCTATCTATCTATCTAACTATATATATATATATATATATATATATATATATATATATATATATATATATATATATATAAAAATAAATAAATAAATATATATATATATATATATATATATATATATATATATATATATATATATATATATATATATAAATTAATACATATCGATTGTTACAGTAACTAGAACATGTTATTTAAAAATGTATTTAACAATGTTGTAAAATGAAGACAACAATATGAGGTCTTACGGTATTTTGCCACATTACATGTTAAAGGTTAAAAATAAATGTCTGACTATTACATGTCAGTAGTTAATTAATTATTATTAATTAGGAAACGTCATACGTAATGGGAACTCGAGTTTTCTTAAGTGGGGCAAATTGCTCTTTCCGTTTCTAGTTACTTTGATAAGTATGTTGGTATCGATGAAAGAGTAATCGGTATCGTGCTAGTAACTACATGTCGGTTCTTGATGCGACTACTTTCTTATTCAAGTATGTATGTAAGGAGACGATTACACGAGAAATCTATGTGATATTATCTGATATCATGTTTCAACTTCAGACATTTATTTCTAGTCAACTCAAGTGGCAAACTCATTACGTGATATCTGTTTACATGTGCATGTTGACCTTCAACCTCCTGTCAACTTATGTATGTTTTTAACTGGTCGGTATATAAGTACGAGACTATTTGACAAACAAACCAGCTATGAGAACGTACTCAGCTGAGTTGATTTTATTGCAATAGATTAAAATGTCTGCTTTGTATTTTATTGCTGTGTTAGCCGTCAACTTATTTCTGTCGTTTGGTAAGCTAAATTTAATTATATTAGGCCTTATATGACAAGTTGAAAATATTATCATTTAAAACGGAACAGTCGAATGTTAGCCGATAAAAACATTACTTAATTAGCCTTAAAATTAATTAATTACTTTTATGAATTTTTGTAAGACATAGTGCATTTGTCGCATGTTAAAATTATAAAACAGAAATTAATTTACGTAAGAACTTGGTTTAAATTTTAACATTAAAATAAAAATATTAACATAATAAATTTATTATGACTCGCCCATAAATACATTATTTTGAAATGATTGGACAATTCAGCTCCATGTACCACGCATCATCAGTAGATAGAAAGTGTACGTAAAGGGATACAAATCGGTGTGGTTGATTATCCAGAAAATATTAACTTGGTTGTTGCCCTTTAAATGGTGATAGCAAAACAATACGGCTATTCCGCTGATTATATTGTCTTCTTATAAAAAAAATAGCATATCAGAAACGCGCATGTATCTAGTTCATTGATCTTTATTAATTAAGCTTCACAATTATCTGTTATTGTAAAAAAACATATATCAGAATTTTATTTTAATCAAAGGTAATTGTTTTTTGCAAACTGATGTTTTTATAAAGATAAACTCAAAGGTTAAAAGATTTCAGATCTTATGCAATACAATAGTATTTATAAAAGAAAAAAAAATTAAAATCACAAAGCGACATAACTGTGACTTCCGCTTATGAAAGGAGAGTTCGTTTAGTTTTATTTCACTAAGCATCACTTCCGAAATCTTCGGTGGACATATAAACGTGACGTTCTTTATGGATGACCCTAAAACCCACAGATTGTAATTTTTTATTTTAAAACAATAAAACTTAAGTACAATGATTTTCAACAATATTTGAAATGTTTTTATTGTGTTTGAATAATGAAGGAACTTCGTAATTGGGTGGTGGCAAGCTCGACTGCTAACAGGAAAGTGGCGAGGACGGTTTCCGGACTGGAGATTTTAAGACATCACATAATCTCTCTGATGTGTACAAAATATTTAATTAATTGTACACATCACATAATCTCTCTGATGTGTACACAATATTTAATTAATTGAACGCATTAGATATTACCAATTTAATTTTGTCTACCGTTTTCTAGGCCTTAAAGTGGATATGACCAGAGAACACTTTTACCATGGGAAAAGTTTATTTTGTGCACAACTCCAGTGTACAGAAAACATAACAGAAGACACTCAGATGTCAGCTCTTGTCAACATGTCAGTCTATAGGATCAGTGAACCTGAAGGGAAGATTTTGTTGGAGTCTATTTCAGGATCTGATTCAAAGGTTCGCGATTATAAAATATCTGGGATATTATCTGAGGGCAAATTATCCAAACATCACGGAGAACTGGTCTTATCTTTCTCCAATACTTCAGCCTGTAATTTACACCAGTATAAATGTCAAGTATATTTTACCAATACGACAGGAGACACGGGAATGCTAGAGAAGAAAACAACGTCTTATGAAAGAGAGAAAATCAAGAAGTCTGTTTTGCTGATGAATTTGATAGCTCAAACTTTGAACTACGTGAAAACTGTGGACACAATGGCTGACTTTCTGAAATCGTTTGAAGATCCAGAAAAACTAAAAGGCGCAGACATGTCAATGTCCTTACAGATGTCACATTCTGGTAGAGATGGGTACAGTGACGACACGGCACAGATTCCATCATCTACAGAGTTAAACAACAGTAACAAACACATCAGCTCTACTAATGCTGTAGATGTGCTTGATGCAAAGATAAATAACATCACGCTACAAATGCAAACAGTGAATGACAGACTTAGAGAAATCGACGTGCTTGGTGCTAAGATAAATAACATCACAGATCACATGCAAACAGTGAATGGCAGACTTAGAGCTATAGACGTAAAACTTAGCGAGACAATCACATTGAACAACCAAACAAACCGAATGATAGAAGCTTTAAACACAACTATACAAGATGAAAAACGACTACAACGTCAATCCTGTGTTGTCACGGATGAGACTTCAGGTTTTTGTTTTATTTCACCAAAAATATTAAGTGAACTAGCACTGTTAATTTGAATTAAATCAACCAATATACATTTAACAAACTGTTTAGAATCATTAAATACGACTATATGTGCTTGTATAAAGACTTAGAAAATATATTTATGTGTGCTTCTTCAAAACTAACACACATTATAAGGCACACTTTGTATATAAGCTCATCCATTTCTAGTCATGTGTTAAAACAAGCATCTTTCTATTTATAAACAGTGTAAAAAGAACCACAAAACTGATGTACCAGAACGAACGACCGTCAGACTAGGTCTAGATAAATTGGCTTTGTGCGACACAAAAACTGACGGTGGAGGTTGGATCATTTTTCAGGTGGATAAATTTAATACGTTAAAATATTTTTGAATTTTTTTTATTTTTTATAGATTACATCTATCCTTTTTGGGTTAAAATAGTTTATCAATATCTTGCAAAATATCCTATTTCAGAGACGTGTTTTGGGTGACGTGAATTTTACGAGAGATTGGAACGCCTATAAACATGGATTTGGTTCAATGATTGGAGATTTCTGGCTTGGGAATGACTTGATATATAACCTGACTTTGATGGTGAGTTTAGAAAAATATAATCTTTATATACTGGCTAAAGCAATATTCATAAGTTATAACTATGTCACATGTGTTCTACATTACAGGGGTACAATGAACTGAGAATCGACATGATTCGAAAAGGTAAAAAGTACTACACCCATTACGATTATTTCAAGGTAGACAACGAAGCAGCGTCGTATAAAATATACATGTCGTCATTCAGTGGAAATGTCAAAGACTATCTAAAATATCATCATGGTATGAAGTTTTCTACCATCGACAGGGACAATGATATAACCAGCACAGATTGTGCTGGACTTTGTAAAGGTGGTTGGTGGTATTACAACTGTAGACTGGTAGCTTTAAATGGTGTCTGGGGTACAACAGACACAGATACAGAAATATACTGGCTCGAGCTATCAAGTGATGGACATATTGCAGACTCTGTTGAGATGAAAGTACGTCAAGTGTAAACAAACTATCTGAAGATGTTTTCAATAAAGCTATAGCTTTATGTTGATGTAGCAGAACTATTTTTATTAGAAAAATCTGTTCACTCCACTGTTCTTCTTAAAGTGTGAAGGTTCTATATGTTCTGATGTAACCTAATTATCACGTCATCTTACTTGTATTTTTACACACACTCATTATCAATCGACTGGTTGCATTTGTTTCATAATGCATTACTTTACCATGCAAAAATATTTTTAAACTAATTGTTTTAAGTATGGAGTTTATAACTACACAAAACAGCATCTGGATTACTGACGGTTACAGTTGAGAAAATATACACTAGTACAGTCAAATAGTCTTTTGTCTATTATTTCCACAATAAAAAACCTTTTTTTGCATATAGTATTGCTTCACGTTTTTTTAAATCTATATTACCCAATTGCTTTATTAAAAGTTTGATTTTAAGGGGTTATCCATAAACGTAACACTTTTGTATGGATGGGTTTGGTGTGTCACATTCAAGGAATATTTAAAGAGCTCTAAATTGTAAATGTTTGTGGAGACTTGGGCAGTCTCTGGTAATACAAAATATTACTTTTTGACACATTGTCATGTGACGCTTACGCTTCTTTTTTTAGACCTTGTGATCCGTTTGGCAGAAGAATTAGAGTCCATACGTTTCTTGACCTCGGCAAATGAAAGAAGAATGTGGTCAGCATTATGCTAAAGTGAGTTAGGTACCCATCAGAGCTGAGTGGACTCATGGACCTTCCGACTTAAACAGGGATTCGAACTCGAAACGTTCGAGTTATCAGTCTTGCGCTCTACCGCTAGGCCACACAGTCCCATGGTATGTGGCGTCGAGGCCTTGGAAAGATTTTGTCATCCATCCCGTAAGCTGCGGGTTCGGACCACCCCCCCCCCCCACCCCCCTTCACAACAACCCTTAGCTGGTCCCAGGTGAAATGAACCGCCACACACACATGGCTGACCCCATAGTGTAGCCATTTATTTAATCAAAGTATTTGCGGCAGATTTAAGTTCATTTTCAAAGGTTGATTTAAAGACCCTAACTCTCATATTTGGGAGTCTTCTAAACTTCAACAGTTGAAAGATAAAACATGCAGCATTATCGAACCCTATGTTACTCACCTCTCTTTCAGTTGCTTGGCGTCTGCTATCTCCAGTGACGTCATGGGCGTATCTGACATGACCAGAGCCTCCAAGATCCCCAGCTCGTAGGACATGGACAGAGCCAAGCCCACCAGAGTGTGACGGATGGTCTCTTCCAGTTTGTCTTGTAGTGGATTCTTTACGCTGCTCGACATTGCTTTATTTTAAATCACTGAGATTGACTGGACAGGTCGTTTCCGTACTAGTACTGTAACCAAGAATAGTTTATAGATTTCAGAGTTACATGGAGTTATACGTAATAGCAGCACGCTAGACTATCTGTATTGCTTGAAGTAAAAATTAATACGAATACCGATTATATATGTGTTTATATATATATATATATATATATATATATATATATATATATAATATTTAGATAGAAGGATAGAGATTCAAAACTGTCAATTAACAGAAAAACACATTTACCTTACTGAATGAAGAGAATAAATCAAAGAACTAGTATGAGTTATGCGCCTTGACTAGTATTTACCTCCTTAGAATGACATTGACCTTGTTTGTTACAGACGCGCCACAGAAACCAAGCGTAACGTTGTTCTAATTGTGAGGTAGAAACAGGAGATATAGCCCAGCCCCTTCTCCAACCCCAATCAACAACCATGGTGTGAGGTTCAAATTTCGAATGCAGTGGCGTAGCGAGGGGGGGGGGGCGGGGGTGCGGACCGCATCGGGTGACACCCTTTAGGGGGGTGACACCAAGGCAAAAAATAGCAAAATATATAGAGAAAAATGATAATTCCACTTAATTAAGTGATTAATTCGAGTGTTAAATAGTCTTTTAAGAGCAAATTTGACCAATCCCGACAAGGGTGGAGAGGGGGGGGGGATGCAAATCGAAAGTTTAAGTTTGAGGAGGGGTGCAAATTGAAAGTTTGAGGGGGGTGCAAATCGAAAATTTAAAGTTTGTCCCCGGACGCCGGGAAAGGTCGCTGCGCCTCTGGGGGGGGGGGGGGGGGTGACACCATTAAGTGCCGCACCGGGTGACACCCGACCTCGCTACGCCACTGTTCGAATGGACCTTGTTATAGAATAACTCCGTAAAAAAAATAATTTTAAAACAACAGCTATTTTCGGCTTATTTTTTAAAGAGCGAATATTTATATACTGACAGCAGGTGCTAGTAAATATTATATAGTTATATATGTGCAGTGTCCATTATATAAAAGTGGTAGACTGTGTGTGTAAAATGTCAATATAAGTGTTCTAGAATCTAGATAGAGCAAGTCATCACGCAATGTTATAAGCAGAGCAAGCCAACATAGAATGTTCTATATAGAACAAAGTCATCACACCATGTTCTATCTAGACTAAGTCACAACACCATGTTCTATCTAGACTAAGTCATCACACCATGTTCTATCTAGACTAAGTCACCACACCATGTTCTATCTAAACTAAGTCACCACACCATGTTCTAGATAGAACACTTAACCACACCATGTTCTATCTAGACTAAGTCACCACACCATGTTCTATCTAGACTAAGTCACCACACCATGTTCTATCTAGACTAAGTCACCACACCATGTTCTATCTAGACTAAGTCACCACACCATGTTCTATCTAGACTAAGTCACCACACCATGTTCTATCTAAACTAAGTCACCACACCATGTTTTTCACATAACCTACAATAACAAAATATAAACTAACCATGACGGTAAAACACAGCAAAGTGTATTGGGGGTCATAGGTCAGATAAACAAGACGGCTTCAGTTGTTTTGTTACATTTTTTTAATAATTTAGATCCTGTGTGGGAATTACGCCAGAGTTGTTGTTTTTCTGTGTGAGCATTTTATACGTGGGATTGTCGTACATTTTCACCGTGTTATTTCTATAGTGTGTGTTCATTTACAATAGCTCGGCCTATTTATTATTAGCGTTATAGCTAAACTGATAGCACCTCCCGGGCGCAGGAATACGTCGCTATGCATCCGAAAGTATCGTTTTTAAAACCCTTCAAGCAACCCAAAGAATGTTAAAACAGTACTTAGACAATCTTCGTCATGCGAGTTACAACTAACTCAAATATCAGTTCAGCAATTAATCAAGGTATCAATATATTACAAATTTTTGTATACGATACTGTAATACTCCAATAGTGTTTAAAATCGACCGAAACAATCATTTAGTGCCGGAAACGTAACTCTATTGATTGTTGACAAAGATTAGAAACTGAATCAAGTTAATAAACATGTTTACATCACGTGGCCATGCCCTGAAGAATCTTTTGTGTGACGGATCACAAAACATCAACACATTTTTCTTTCCTCGGCTAACTTTCTGTTTATGAAAGTTGATTACAATTTTATCTTCCTGGATACCATAAATAATTCAATGGAAGTACATTTGATCTATAAACACACTGTGGCGGTGTGAATGTGCTAAGACTATTTAACTTTTTGTTAATTCAAAGATAGATCGCATATGGACACCGCGTACGTCTCCATTTTACCAACAATTTTTCTTAAAGCTAGTCAGATATTGCATGTTATTGCAGTCAGACATGCAAATAATTTAAAAAAAAATTTTTTACTGAAGAGGGGGTGAGTGGGCTGCAGAACAAAACATTTTTAATGTCGTCAGTGGCTATCTGGTGTGTGCACACGATTTGGGTTGGGTGAAAAATTCGGCTAATTAACGCGAAGTCATTTATGAACGGCCGCTAGACAGTACAATATGTATGGACTACGGTCCTTGGCTACCTCCCCTTAGTTTCAAATCGTTTAAACTTTCGGCGTGAATCACAACTCACCAGACTGGAAAGCGTGGGAGGGGGCGGGAGGAGGGTTAGATATTATGTATAGAGATGTCCAGTCGCAGCATTGCTAGTGTCGAACCTATCAATTATGAATTACTAAAAACTACTAGTATATTTGTCTTATTTACAATATGAGAATTTTTTTTTTTTTAATTTAAATGTTAAATCCATCATGTGGACGTACAAAAAGATCCTACCACCCCCCCCACACTTCTATTTTTCCCACCCCCCTCCTATGCTGACGTCATAAATTGTGACCCCCCCCCCCCTAAATATAGATTCCAGTGGAGGGTGGTGACAATAGAAACTGGGGTGTCTGGTGACGTGGTTTGTGTGAAGTTTATGCGAAAACGCTCACTGTAAAGAATGTGTAGTGAGATTGTGTGACGTGTGTGTTTGATGGGTTTAGCACAGTGCCAAGTAGAATGTCAACCAGTACCTGTGTTTGTTTTGACAAGTGCCTGGGGTAGAAATAGTTCATTGTGTGACACAATATTGTGAGATGTCATGCGCAGTGGAGGCCAAAAGTTAGTGCATAATCGAGTCATGTGTCTTTGGGAACAGGCGCGTATCCTTTGGACTTAGACCTCCATCTTGAATTTAGGGATTTCAATAAAATATTTCATGTGTTTGGATAACTTATCTTTCTAATTGCCACTAAACAACGTCAACCTAAACAACAGCATCATATTGACGAGGATGTTGCTAATAAAATGGTGCTCATCGTTCATGTGTTTGGATAACTTATCTTTCTAATTGCCACTAAACAACGTCGACCTAAACAACAGCATCATATTGACGACGAGGGTTGATGTAAGTTTTGTATACTATCAATGTACAGAATATTTAAAATTTATAAGGGCTAACTTTTATTTTTATTTTTACTTTCTCAAATAGGTCTATAGTAGTGTATACGAAATATACTAAGTATATAGAGTATTTAGTATCATGAGATATTTATTTTACATATCCTCGAATACCTATGGTAAACTACTAGCCATCGGTACCCGACGCGAATTATAGCCCTATGCCTATATATTTTTGTTATTCTTGTTGGAGAAAAATAATTTATAAAATAGTTATTGGTCAAAACGCAATGTGCTTTACTACACGTTGAACGATATTAGCGATAAATTAAAGAAATAACTAAATAGCTAAAAATCCTACACCTTTAAAATAACATAGGCTACCAATACCTATTAGAAAAAACAAATTATATACATTATTAGTCAATGCAAAACCATATTAAATGCACAAACTGATTAACAGACTTAAAAAATGATTCCGTTAAAAGCCCGGCTGTTATTCGTGTTGTCTTTTAAAGTATTTTTTTGCCCGAGAAATATTATAAAGGTCTACATTTATAGCATAAGTCTTGATAAGCCGATCTAGAATCTATAGATTTAAATCTAATTTGAGCGAAATAGTTCCTTTCTTCATATTCTATAATTGGAAAATGTGGAAAGCAAATATTATTGAAGATGACTTCATTAGTATTGTGTATCATTTTCGACATTCTATTTTTATCCTGAAAGCGATGACGCCATTGTTTTTAAATTTGTATGTTCTCTAAAGAGTTCTTGTCACAACCATAAACACTTTTCCAGTTGCATGATTTAAAAAGTTTCTACATTCGATAATTCCTTTTTCATCTTCCTTCTTTAAATACAATTTAGGTTATACATTTAATAATCCAACATATAGTTTGCAACAAAAGTCCGTTTCATTAAGGTCTCCATACATCCATATATCGCTGAAGATACTGATCTCATTGCCTCGGAAAATATTTTGCGGACAGAGAAAGAGAGAGAGAGAGACAGAGAGAGAGAGAGGTGTGCACACTGGCTTTCATATTATTAGGATAATTTAGTTATATTATGGGATTTAATACTTTTCGTCAGGAAAGTTGTCTCTTCCCCCGCCCACCCCCTCTTTTTAAAGAAAAACTTTTTTTTTCAAAATTATGTTATACAGGACCATTTCCTAAACGATTCGAACATAGACACAAAAGACATAATACAATATATATAGAATATAAAATTATTTTAGTAAGATTTAAATTATATCTTGTTAGTTATTGTTACGTCCCTTGTATTATACATATCATAGTTACTTCCCTTGAATGTTCAGTCTGTTAACGTATAGTCAGAGTTGTCTGCTGTAAATAATAAAACACTGAAGTCAATACAAAGTATTCTCCTCTTTGTTCTGAATGATGAAATAAAGTAATAAACTGTAAGATAAAAATAAATTACCGTATAACAAAACAGCAAGTTTATTAAATCGTTAATAATATGACAAACATTACAAAATTCTTCATTATGTTATTACTTATTTCATCACAGGGTGATTTGGATACCGGAACTTTTACCGGAAGTTGGGGAGAACATTTATGTGATGCTGTCGACAGCTACTTTACACGCCATCATCGAGTGGACCCATCATCAAGTCCACCCATAATCGAGTGGACCCATCATCGAGTGGACCCAGCAAGTGGACCCCTCATCAAGTCGACCGATTCGCGAGCCGGCCCATCATCAAGTGGACCCTTCATATAGTCTACCCATCATCAAGTGGACCCATCATCGAGTGGACCCAGCAAGTGGACCCATCATCAAGTGGACCCATCATCGAGTGGACCCATCGAGTGGACCCATCATGGGCAGATCTCCTGCAAGAGAACTCGGCTTAAGGACTTTAAGGTCTGTTTGATGTGTGTTCGTCTGGTTGTGCGTTTAGGACGTGACTCATGATACGTGAGACATGATACGTGAGACATGATACGTGAGACATGATACGTGAGACATGATACGTGAGACATGATACGTGAGACATGATACGTGAGACATGATACGTGAGACATGATACGTGAGACATGATACGTGAGACATGATACGTGAGACATGATACGTGAGACATGATACGTGAGACATGATACGTGAGACATGATACGTGAGACATGATACGTGAGACATGATACGTGAGACATGATACGTGAGACATGATACGTGAGACATGATACGTGAGACATGATACGTGAGACATGATACGTGAGACATGATACGTGAGACATGATACGTGAGACATGATTCGTGAGACATGATACGTGAGACATGATACGTGAGACATGATACGTGAGACATGATACGTGAGACATGATACGTGAGACATGATACGTGAGACATGATACGTGAGACATGATACGTGAGACATGATACGTGAGACATGATACGTGAGACATGATACGTGAGACATGATACGTGAGACATGATACGTGAGACATGATACGTGAGACATGATACGTGAGACATGATACGTGAGACATGATACGTGAGACATGATACGTGAGACATGATACGTGAGACATGATACGTGAGACATGATACGTGAGACATGATACGTGAGACATGATACGTGAGACATGATACGTGAGACATGATACGTGAGACATGATACGTGAGACATGATACGTGAGACATGATACGTGAGACATGATACGTGAGACATGATACGTGAGACATGATACGTGAGACATGATACGTGAGACATGATACGTGAGACATGATACGTGAGACATGATACGTGAGACATGATACGTGAGACATGATACGTGAGACATGATACGTGAGACATGATACGTGAGACATGATACGTGAGACATGATACGTGAGACATGATACGTGAGACATGATACGTGAGACATGATACGTGAGACATGATACGTGAGACATGATACGTGAGACATGATACGTGAGACATGATACGTGAGACATGATACGTGAGACATGATACGTGAGACATGATACGTGAGACATGATACGTGAGACATGATACGTGAGACATGATACGTGAGACATGATACGTGAGACATGATACGTGAGACATGATACGTGAGACATGATACGTGAGACATGATACGTGAGACATGATACGTGAGACATGATACGTGAGACATGATACGTGAGACATGATACGTGAGACATGATACGTGAGACATGATACGTGAGACATGATACGTGAGACATGATACGTGAGACATGATACGTGAGACATGATACGTGAGACATGATACGTGAGACATGATACGTGAGACATGATACGTGAGACATGATACGTGAGACATGATACGTGAGACATGATACGTGAGACATGATACGTGAGACATGATACGTGAGACATGATACGTGAGACATGATACGTGAGACATGATACGTGAGACATGATACGTGAGACATGATACGTGAGACATGATACGTGAGACATGATACGTGAGACATGATACGTGAGACATGATACGTGAGACATGATACGTGAGACATGATACGTGAGACATGATACGTGAGACATGATACGTGAGACATGATACGTGAGACATGATACGTGAGACATGATACGTGAGACATGATACGTGAGACATGATACGTGAGACATGATACGTGAGACATGATACGTGAGACATGATACGTGAGACATGATACGTGAGACATGATACGTGAGACATGATACGTGAGACATGATACGTGAGACATGATACGTGAGACATGATACGTGAGACATGATACGTGAGACATGATACGTGAGACATGATACGTGAGACATGATACGTGAGACATGATACGTGAGACATGATACGTGAGACATGATACGTGAGACATGATACGTGAGACATGATACGTGAGACATGATACGTGAGACATGATACGTGAGACATGATACGTGAGACATGATACGTGAGACATGATACGTGAGACATGATACGTGAGACATGATACGTGAGACATGATACGTGAGACATGATACGTGAGACATGATACGTGAGACATGATACGTGAGACATGATACGTGAGACATGATACGTGAGACATGATACGTGAGACATGATACGTGAGACATGATACGTGAGACATGATACGTGAGACATGATACGTGAGACATGATACGTGAGACATGATACGTGAGACATGATACGTGAGACATGATACGTGAGACATGATACGTGAGACATGATACGTGAGACATGATACGTGAGACATGATACGTGAGACATGATACGTGAGACATGATACGTGAGACATGATACGTGAGACATGATACGTGAGACATGATACGTGAGACATGATACGTGAGACATGATACGTGAGACATGATACGTGAGACATGATACGTGAGACATGATACGTGAGACATGATACGTGAGACATGATACGTGAGACATGATACGTGAGACATGATACGTGAGACATGATACGTGAGACATGAGACATGATACGTGAGACATGATACGTGAGACATGATACGTGAGACATGATACGTGAGACATGATACGTGAGACATGATACGTGAGACATGATACGTGAGACATGATACGTGAGACATGATACGTGAGACATGATACGTGAGACATGATACGTGAGACATGATACGTGAGACATGATACGTGAGACATGATACGTGAGACATGATACGTGAGACATGATACGTGAGACATGATACGTGAGACATGATACGTGAGACATGATACGTGAGACATGATACGTGAGACATGATACGTGAGACATGATACGTGAGACATGATACGTGAGACATGATACGTGAGACATGATACGTGAGACATGATACGTGAGACATGATACGTGAGACATGATACGTGAGACATGATACGTGAGACATGATACGTGAGACATGATACGTGAGACATGATACGTGAGACATGATACGTGAGACATGATACGTGAGACATGATACGTGAGACATGATACGTGAGACATGATACGTGAGACATGATACGTGAGACATGATACGTGAGACATGATACGTGAGACATGATACGTGAGACATGATACGTGAGACATGATACGTGAGACATGATACGTGAGACATGATACGTGAGACATGATACGTGAGACATGATACGTGAGACATGATACGTGAGACATGAGAGACATGATACGTGAGACATGATACGTGAGACATGATACGTGAGACATGATACGTGAGACATGATACGTGAGACATGATACGTGAGACATGATACGTGAGACATGATACGTGAGACATGATACGTGAGACATGATACGTGAGACATGATACGTGAGACATGATACGTGAGACATGATACGTGAGACATGATACGTGAGACATGATACGTGAGACATGATACGTGAGACATGATACGTGAGACATGATACGTGAGACATGATACGTGAGACATGATACGTGAGACATGATACGTGAGACATGATACGTGAGACATGATACGTGAGACATGATACGTGAGACATGATACGTGAGACATGATACGTGAGACATGATACGTGAGACATGATACGTGAGACATGATACGTGAGACATGATACGTGAGACATGATACGTGAGACATGATACGTGAGACATGATACGTGAGACATGATACGTGAGACATGATACGTGAGACATGATACGTGAGACATGATACGTGAGACATGATACGTGAGACATGATACGTGAGACATGATACGTGAGGACATGATACGTGAGGCATGATACGTGAGACATGATACGTGAGGCATGATACGTGAGGCATGATACGTGAGGCATGATACGTGAGGCATGATACGTGAGGCATGATACGTGAGGCATGATACGTGAGGCATGATACGTGAGGCATGATACGTGAGGCATGATACGTGAGGCATGATACGTGAGGCATGATACGTGAGGCATGATACGTGAGGCATGATACGTGAGGCATGATACGTGAGGCATGATACGTGAGGACATGATACGTGAGACATGATACGTGAGACATGATACGTGAGACATGATACGTGAGACATGATACGTGAGACATGATACGTGAGACATGATACGTGAGACATGATACGTGAGACATGATACGTGAGACATGATACGTGAGACATGATACGTGAGACATGATACGTGAGACATGATACGTGAGACATGATACGTGAGACATGATACGTGAGACATGATACGTGAGACATGATACGTGAGACATGATACGTGAGACATGATACGTGAGACATGATACGTGAGACATGATACGTGAGACATGATACGTGAGACATGATACGTGAGACATGATACGTGAGACATGATACGTGAGACATGATACGTGAGACATGATACGTGAGACATGATACGTGAGACATGATACGTGAGACATGATACGTGAGACATGATACGTGAGACATGATACGTGAGACATGATACGTGAGACATGATACGTGAGACATGATACGTGAGACATGATACGTGAGACATGATACGTGAGACATGATACGTGAGACATGATACGTGAGACATGATACGTGAGACATGATACGTGAGACATGATACGTGAGACATGATACGTGAGACATGATACGTGAGACATGATACGTGAGACATGATACGTGAGACATGATACGTGAGACATGATACGTGAGACATGATACGTGAGACATGATACGTGAGACATGATACGTGAGACATGATACCGAGACATGATCACGAGACATGATACGAGAGACATGATACACGAGACATGATACACGAGACATGATACACGAGACATGATACACGAGACATGATACACGAGACATGATACACGAGACATGATACACGAGACATGATACACGAGACATGATACACGAGACATGATACACGAGACATGATACACGAGACATGATACACGAGACATGATACACGAGACATGATACAC